CTCTGTTACAAATATGAATAATGCAAGAATGTGTGCTTTCTGTGTTTTTATATGCGTTTTTTCATTATTATTATTGTAATTATTAAACGTATTATTATTACTATTTTTATTTTTTTACTATTTTTTTATTTTTTTGTAATAAAAATATTAAAGTTATAAGTCAAAGTCGTGTAGCAACTATTATACAAAGCTACCAAAAGCTTCTCATCAGTAGCAAACACTGACTTTTCAGAATAGAAACTAAATCACCATTTCGAAGCGCACCGTCAACGCTCTCAGGGCTAATATCGCTGTGCTACATTCTCTGCAGTGGTTAGGTAGTCTTATACTGGAGCTGATAGTGTCCACCTCCACCAACTCTCTCCGCAAACTTTGACCCTTCCATATAAAAGCTCCCCCTCCCCCTCTCTTTCACCCTGTCCTTACCACCCAGGCCTCCCTTGAAGGTATATGAGCAAAGAGGAGATAAGGAGGGCATGCTTCCGTTACCTAACAATCCAATTTTTTTAGAATGAAAGTCAAAGAGTATGCGGATTCCAAAGTGTCCACGCCTATTCAAAGCTCTAATGACCGCTTACGGCAACATTGTTGAATGCTCCTCGATATCGATAATGGTCCCACTGTTAACCTTGTTCATCATGCTCCACTCATTCACCTTTGCAATATGTAGGCCCTTGAAAGTCGATTTTTTGGAATACAACCCCTTATGTGCAGATCATTCAATCTCACTAAAAAATAATTTAAGATATATCACTAGACTACAAGTAAATCTTCTATAAAAAATCTGTCTGACCATCTGTCAAACAATTTATCAGACCTGCTGTCAAACTAATGTCAAAAAGGTGTGAAATATAACATAAGTGTTTGACATAGACTATATCTTTTATGGAGCCAGTAAAGCGAACTGCCAAACTAATGTCAACTTTTAAACAATCTATCAGACCTGCTGTCAAACTAGTGTTAAAAAGGTCTCAAAGTAAACATAAGTGTCTAACATTTATCTACAATACACTTTGGCCCTCTGATATTTCCTAAATTTGTTTGTGTTTTATTGGAGATTGAAATTTTGGGTCGATGAAATTTTATCGTTAGAAATTTATGTGTTGGAAGTTTTCAGAGAAAATAGAGAGTTTATGTATAATGTATAAGTTGAGTGCTGTAGTTATTCTATAAAGCATATTACTTAAATTTTTATTATTATTTTTTAATTTAAAGCATTTCTAAATTTATTTTTATTATTTATTGTAGCATTTTAAGCTAATTTTAATTTTTTAGTATATTGTCTAGTGTGATAATTTTTTTGTTTACATAAAAAGTCATTGTGACGACTACATTTTATATTTTCTATATGTTATATGCTTGTAAACGCCGATTTGCATTTACTTAATATGCAGCATATTAAACTATCATATGCATACACATTTATTTAGTTCTAATATTGCCATATTGCTAGTTGAAAATGCCTGCGTAACTTGAAGTTAGTAGCAAATTTGCTTGAAATATGTGAAAACAAAAATAGAATTGCCATTTAGCTAGCGTCAAGAACTATATTATAAACTCTATTTAACAAGCGTAAAAAATATATTAATAAAATCCACTGTCCAAATATATATATACGTATGTCTATATGAATGCCAACAACCGAACCAATCAACCTAACAAACAACAACGTAGGGAACTACAGCTGTCTTAGGGTCGATTTAATATTTACCAGAGATCGTGCATTCTATTTCACCACCGTTTTTATACCCGGCATTATACTGGTGACGTCATCATTTATAACATTCTGGCTAGAATGGAATGCAGTTCCGGCCAGATCGATGATAGGTAAAAATAAAACATTAATAATCACAAAATAATTAAACAAAATTGCAAACAACCCATCACAACTTACAAAAAAGTATACGAAACCAGAAACAAACTAAAATCTCCCATAATTTTCAACCCATTCATAAAAAATCAAATAAATAAACAGGTATTATTTATTAGATATGCAACTACAAAACATTTGTTTACTTTAATGAACAAATTATAAACAAATTTTATTTGTCTGTAGTATGCCAGCTAACTTTTACATTTGTATGTATATTCAAAATTTGTTTGCTATAATTTTGAATGCTCGTACCGGTTATTTGCTAAACATGCTCACCCCAAATTTCACCACAGAACAATTCACCCACGGTAAATGCTATGCCTGTGTACAATTCCAATAATCGTTTTGATTATATTGTAGTTTGCGTATTTTATTTTACGATTTGATTGAATTTTCATTATAGTAATTTCGTAATTATAGTAATATTTGGAAAACGTAATTTTATTAAATTTACTGTTGCGCAATTCATTTAGCAAATGTTCAAAACCAATTTATTTAAAAAAAATATATGAAATTAAATTTAAAAAAAATTCCTACCGTCTCCCAAACACAACCAATGAAATTCCTGCCCTGCTCTAAAAGCGCTCTTTAGACATATCTGCATTCTAGCGCTCGCCCTTTACCGTTATTACCTAAGCCTTTTTACCAAGCCTTAAAATTTTTTTATTAAAATTTTTTCAATATATTGCCTACTTTTATTATTAATTTCTCGCGTAATTTGAGGTAAATGTTGCAACAGATATTTAGTTTGCTTCCCAGTATTTAATTATTCACATATAATTCACATACGCTAGTGCTGATGTGGCAGGTAAAATACTTATTTATTGCCTTTATGCAGCATATTTATGGAATACATAATTTTTCAGCAGTCTCTTTTTTTACATTCTCTTAAAAGTATTTTTTAACAAAAACCAAATTGTCTTCCGTGCCTTGCATTTGGATTTAGCATTCTCATTTTCACACGAAGAAAAACGAAATCCTTAAAAACATTTGCGTTTTACTGCATGCAATAAATTTTTTATTAAAGTAGAAAACACCGAATTACTTTTAAAAAAATTTGCAAACTCCACATACCCAAAAAATTATAATTATATTCCCATAACATGAATGCCAAAGAAGGTGAATATGTATACCAAAAAGCTTTCAGGGATCCTTAGATAAACAAGTATTTCAAAAGAAGCTTCCATGGAAGCTTTGGTGAAAAATATGTCAAAAAAGTGGAAAAGTATGCCCAAAAGCTCTTAGGAATGATTAGGCGAACATGTATGCCAAAAGAAGCTTCATGGAAGCTTCGTTGAATAAGTATGCTTAAAAGCTTTCAGGGATGCTTAGGTGAACAGGTATGCCAAAACCTTTCAGGGATGCGTAAGTGAACAAGTATGCAAATAGAAGCTCTCATGAAAGCTTAGGCAAATAAGTATACAGTTATATACTTCATAACATAGTCTGGACTTAGTGAGTAGGTATTTAGAGTGCCACTGTTACAAAGCTTAATTTTAAGTTATAATTAAAAATAGCCAAAGACAACACATTTAGTTGGTGATACATGAGATGAATAATTGATATACATACATACAAATATGTAATTTATAGTACAAATTATCGAAAGCTTTTGCCGGACTAACAAATAAATTTTCGTAAGGAAATTATTTTTCACAAAATCAACACAAAAGCTATATATGGTAATTATAATAAATTATTTCACAGAAATTATGTGAATTATTTATCCAAAAAATAGTAAATGCATATAGAGTAAATTTATAAAAAACACAATATAGTTTTCCTCATAGAAACTTACTTAAGTTAAACTCGTGTGCAAAGCTTTCACCTTTGAAAGCTCACGTAAGGTAAATGCGTGTCTAAAGCTTTCACTACTGAAAGCTTTCATAAGTTAAACGCGCGCATAAGGCTATCATCATTGAAAACTCTTTTGAATTAAACGCGCGTCTAAAGCTTCCACCATAGGAATCTCTCTTAACGTAAATGCGTATCTTAAGATTTCACTTTTTCGTGCGCAACTGTCGCATAACTTTCACACTCGACTTCTACTCGTTTGTACCATAAAATGTCACTCAATGTTTGCGTGTTGTAACTTAAGTCATTTGTCTCGTCTCTGTCGTCGTCTCATACAATATACTGTGCTATAATCTAAGTACGTCCATAGTTTGTTCTAAATGTTCTACGTCTATACCACTGACATATAAATACCGCATAGTTTTAGTCGAAATAAAATAACTATATATATTTATATACGAATAAAACGAATGCAAGCTACCTAAGTGAATAGTTTAAATTTAGTAAAAAATATGAAACAATTTTGCATAAAGCCATGCTGGCATTATCTACTATGTTGTATTGTGTGTATTCTTTTCCTAAAGGTAATTACAGTTGCCTAGAAGTCGAGTTGACTTTTACCAGGGATCGTGCTTATTATTTCACCACTGTTTTTATACCCGGCATTATATTGGTGACATCATCATTTATCACATTTTGGCTGGAATGGAATGCTGTGCCAGCCAGAGTTATGATCGGTATGTAAAAATCTTAATACGTTTAGTTAGATATGCATTAAAACAAAACAAATATTATTTGTTTTTTATCTGTAAGCTGAAAATTAGCGTCATTAGTTGAGGGTAGTTTAAGTTAGTTATAAAGGGTGTCAGCTGAAAAATATAGGTAGAGTTTTTAGCGTAGAAGACTATTATATATACTTGTATATATATTGATTATAAATCGCCTACTGTATACATTAATCGTTACTATATATCAATATAATATATAAAAATATAGTAAAGGATTGATCAATATTAAGCTTTAAGTAAGTAGGCACCACTACCAAATGTAAGAAAATGTAATAGTTCTGAAAAATGTTAACTTGACATCTAGCTTTCCGATAATTTTATATGTTCTGGACATTTTTTTTTAGAATGAACTAAAGCCCTAAATCATATTTGATATTTGAATTCTGGTATTTATAATTGAAAGCACAAGTTTCCATTTGCTCTTTTTCTTTAAAATCTCTAATTTCAAAAATGCACAAAGGCTCAAAAGCACAAAGCTCCCATCTTTTTCATTTTTTACCGCTTATTTAAATAAATTACTTCTCCATAAATAAGTGATACAAGATTTTCAAAAACAAGCAACAGTATCTGCTTTTCACAAATCAGAGCTTTTCAAAAGCTTTTAAATAAAAGTATACTTAAAACATTGGTTCTCCGTCAGGCATTGGAGCGTTATATTAGGTTGTCAAAAAAGTCTTGCGGTATTTTCGTTAATTGGCGCTGAGAGCGCGTAGTTCTAGTTTTATTCGTTGCATCGGGTCATGCTATACCTTTTTGGAAAGCTCATTTCACGCGCTAACAGGTGTTTGATTGATTGTCGTTTCTTTTAAGTCGTTCGTGAGTTATAGCGTCGCAAAATACGGCATATTTTACAGTACTACTACGATAAAGGCAAAAATGCATCTCAAGCCGCCAATAAAATTCGTGCAGTTTATGGACCCGATACAGTTTCAAGGCATTTTTTCATGATTTTTATTGTAGAGCGTATTTTATAATAAAGTACCCTAAAATCTCTGTTCTAAATGGAAAAATAGTTATAACACAATCCTAAAAATCTTTAGTAAAATCACTGTAGTCAATAAATAGGCATCTTATAAGTTAGTTACACTGATTCCAAAGGTATGTATTTTGTGCTAAAATGTTGAGTATACAATTAAGTAAGTAGTTCTTTAGTTCACGCCCGTAACATACAAATTGGTAAAATCCCCATTTTTATTTATTTTAGTTCTTTTTTTTACTTTTTATAAATTCCAACAACTTAACGGTATAAATTAGTAGACATATTTTGCATGCGTAATTTGCAAGCTTTTAAACAATAATGTGCATTTACACTTATTATTAATTGATATGCGGAAATATACACATACGCACACCCATACAAACAACTACGAACACGCAACACTACCATCACTTCACTTTTCAACTTTTGATATTTCGTATTTAAGCCAAAAAAAAGTAGTTTAGTATTTATATATCTGTGCATTTTGTAAAATTTTTAAACCACAAAAACTTGCATAAAAAAACTTAAAAATTTAAAAAAAAAATTGTAATTTGCAACCGCAGACACCACAACAGAAAATACAATTAAAAGTTAAATTTTTTAAATATGCTTATTTATTACCGTCATTACAAACGTCAAACCAATAAAAAATGTGTCAGAAGTGTTTACCACAACTACAAAAACAACAACTTTCGAACTTTCAACAAAATATGCAGCGTGTGCAAATTGGCGCATTAAAGCTCGATAGAACGTAAGACCGCCGATGACGGAAATTGCACGTGCGTAAAGAGAGTGTAAGGGACTTAGTGGCAACACCAATGGCAAGGAGTAGCAGAACATTTTCTGAAAAAATAGCAGCATACTTTATCACTTTGCCATATTCAAAGTTTGCTCGTCTGTTTTTCACATAATACAAAAGTTGCGGCGTTTTCACAAACACCTGCACACACACACACACGCACTTAGATACGCCAAAATATATTTTTCGTTCAGTGCCAAAGCATGTCACACGTAAAGGGAAGTGCGTAAGTCTGCAATCATGCTGCCAAGAGCGCGCAAAGTAACCGTTAAACCTTATCTACACGCAGTAAAGGCATTAAAAATGAATTTGTGTCAGTGAGAAATGCATTTGTGTCGGTGAGAAAAGCGTTTACTGCAAATAAAATGCATTTTTGTTGGAGCAAAATGTTTTTGTGTGCTGCAAAATGCAACGCTGAGGTGCTGTGCACGTCTCCTGCATGCCTTACTGCGAGCGTAAATAAATTTCGTCGTTAAGTCGCTAACTTGAGCGCTGTTATTGGCCGCGACAGGCTGCCAAAAGTTGTCACTTTGACGTAAGCAAAGCGAAATTGCAATTATATGTGGAATTTTGGAAAAGTTAGAAAGCTGGAAATGTTGAAATTTTACTTAAAACTGTATACATATGTTCATATTGATGTTACAAAAGCCTTTTTAGCATATTTGCTGACTTACAGGTGTTGACTTCGAAAAAGTAATTGGTGTGAAAGGTGGGTAGATATTTCTAACGACGAGCTGGGAGGCCCATTGTGATACTATCAAGACTAAAGCCGCCTTACTCTATTGTATTGGAGTGAAACTCTCATCAAAATGTCATAATGTCAGATTTGAACAAAATTACTTCTAAAATTTATCATCATATTGGCATATACTATACACTATTGTACTTCTATTGCAGACTTCATATGATTTCATGGTTTAAAATGTAAATTGATATGTAGGTGTGATGATAAAGGCATGGATTGAGGCATGATGTGATATTAATAATGAAATTGTCACCTGTGATGTTTTACATAAGGTGCCACGATGCTCAGTTTTGATAAAAAAAAATTATTTTACTATTTAGGATATTTGGAATTCATGTAGTTGTAGTTTTTTTTTTTTTTTTTTTTTTTTTTTTTTTTTTTTTTTTTTTTTTTTTTTTTTTTTTTTTTTTTTTTTTTTTTTTTTTTTGATGTAAATGTATATGACGTGACGTGTTGAGGGATGATACGATAATATGATGTTATATAATAACGATAGAAGAGAAACTAAAGCGCATTGAACGTATGATGATGTAACATCACAAGCAAATGCAAATGCTGACTTCACATCATGTGATGACATATGATGTGACATTAGATGATATGACGCAAAATAAAGTTATGAGCTGCTAAAAAAGCAATATTATCTCAACTAATTTGAGAGTACAAAATATATCAAGTGATCACTAGCAGAGACATATGAAGACTGTGCATCATGTGATGTTTTTTTTTTTTCCTAGCACACAGAAATTATACTTATAAGGCAATTGGTATACCAGCTGGCACTCTTATTTAAGTTTAAAAAATCTTGTAATTTGATATGGAAATTTCAAGCATCAGACTGCTGGTGAAAATTTTAAAGGCATTTGATGTGATTTATCAAAGCATGTTGTTTGTCACATTATCATATCATCGCTTAAAGGAATATGAAGTCATGCGACTGACATCAAGTAGAATAGCAATGCCAATAATTGCAGAACAAGGCACGCTTAAATGAAAGAATGCCATGCTCAGCAACAACTAAAGCTTCAAACGAGTAATTTACAGGATTCCTGTACAATTTTTTAAAGAACATATTATTTTTAATCACTTGCTTATTTGCTTACAAATCCACTGCCTTGAACACATAATAAAAAAACAAAAAAAAAAAAACATCAAAAAAGCGCATACGTGTCTGGAGTGCACAACACTTAGTTCGCACTGCAATTGGCAACTTCCTAACTACTTGCCTTACCTCAACATACATACTTTGAAACAATTAAGCACTCGCAAATGGCACAAGTGGGTTACTGCGACTTTTTGCTTTAGCAAATACTACTGCATTTTTCACCCGTTTAGTGGCACGACGCTGCCAGTGCGGCCTAATTACCACAAAACGTCACTAACGCTTGGCGAGCTGCAATCAAGCCGAAATGAAGTAAACTAAGCAAGCATCATAATGCACAAACAAGATGGCGCTTTTTCTATTGCAAACCTGACTTGCTCACAAAGAAATGTGGCGAAACAAAGCCAATTATGTTTACTACTTATACTGAGACCGTCGGTGTGACAACTTTATGCATTGAAGGGGTTTCTGCTTGCAACTAAAAGCAGCTAAAAGAGTGTGGTCAATGTTTATACATTTAGTTGAGAGCTTGTGGTAAATTTACTTATACCGTTAAACATCTAACAGCCATTTACGGTAGCTGAAAGCTTTTATTTAGCTTTCGATGCACTTAAGTGAAAGCTCTAAGCAGCTAAGTAAGTACTTCCTTAGTTGTGGTTTAGTTTTTCGCTCTCTCTCTCTGTATACCACTTATTACGGAAATAAACTGAGCCAATAGTGGGAATTTAGATTTTTGTACAGCTATACAAGAACACAGTCCAATGCATTACCACGGAAGCAATAAAAAAGGTTACATATTTCACTGACTGGCAGCGCTTTTGTGCTTGTTAAGGAAACCAGGAAACCAGCAGGATATTCGATTTTTACATGCACGCTACCAGCGTCCACTGAGAGCGCTGCTTGATTGCCAATAATTTGTGCTATATCCCAGAAGGATATGGAAATAGTGAAGTACAATTTGTGGTCACAATCGGTAGAATATGGGCAGTTTGAGACTAATTCTTAAAGGACTAGTACATTGTGAATGTATTAATCTCTCTGAAAGTGAAGTTCATGGATTTGAAAAAGCGATAAAATCTAGTATCTTTAAATTCCCTTAGTGTCAACTGTTTCGCACTAATTTGAAACTATTCCTTTTTTCGACACAAGAAACGTATTCAAATGTAACCATAAAAAATTTTTTTTAAAAAGCTTTCAGGCATTCAGAGAGCTTTAAGCTTTTTAGAACCTGACTTGAAAATATCACTTTTTTCGACACAAGAAACAAAATGAAATGTGAACATAAATAAAATTGTTATAAAGCATTCAGTCGTTCAAAAAGCGTAAAGCTTTTTAGAACCACACGTGTACTTCAATCTGAAAATGATTAAAATTTTCAAGAATTTTCATTTCAGCGATTTTCATGTAAGCTTTCAGCCATTCAGAAAGCTTAGAGCTTTTAAGAACCGAGTCTTTTTGGGATAACAACAGTTGGTTTACTAGAAATAGCTGAAAAAATTACATCGATATTATAGACATACATAGAAATCCACTCTAAAATATACTTTCTAAACTTACTAAGTAATACTCTAACACCAGCGACCAGTTATAGCACACGTAACTCTTTATTTGACCTCAGTGATTGCTCTCCTCGGTCATACATATGTATGTATTGAAGTTAAAGTCACTTTGTGGCTTATGCAAAAAGCAAACCATTTTCGGCCGGAACTGGCTTGTAGCCACGCAACAGAGCAGCGGTTTAGCACATCCGCTGTCAATAAAAATATCGGACATCGTAACTTGCAACATTTTGTGGCAAGTTTATTCATCACTATGAAAAATAACATGTGAGCACTTAGCTTCAGTATAAGCAATATAAGAGATATAGTAAAATAAACGGCAATGAACCGGAAGGATGCTTAATAATAAAAGAAAGCAAAATAAATTATGCTTACTCTATTGCGCTGAAATTTACAAGGTTTATTTAGCCGATTAACTACAGCTACGAAAATATTTATCTCATTGGCGGGTGTGTATTTTGTCATTTCTTATTTGTGGGGTTTTAATGCTCATTGTCGAGAGATAAAACGCAATGTTAACATAAAGTAATACAAATATAAAAGTAGGGTTGTTAAATGTATGCTTTTTGTATTTATGTACCCAGTGATTCGCTTAAGGAGTGGTATATACTTACGTATTATATAAACTGATATATATAAGTATTTAATTTATATATAGTATATGATTTTGGGTGCATTAAACTATGCTTCCCATAGACGAATTTTGACAGCAATCAAATTTTTGGCATATGGTTATATTCAAACTTTCAAGAAAATAAAATTGATATGATATGATATATGAATTTTTAAGGCACTTTTCGAAGACGTATACTAATGTAAGTTTAACCACAATTCTCGTCACAAATTTCATACAATCCAGAAAAAGTTTTTTCTTAAACAATTTAAATTTTAAACCATTCATAAATATAGACAGTATCCTCAAGTACTTTTCCCTCGCACCACTGAAGTAAGTAAGTGGCAAGCAAATTGAGAATGGCAAGCAGAAAGCGTACAATATAATAAAGTAAGACAAAATATGCTAAATTACATTACATTATGCATTTTAGTGAGTAGTTAGGACCGGAGTTGCAGCACAACGCAATCAGCCACTTGTTGTGCGATATACAACTGGCATTGCCACTGTCGGTACTCAAATTGAAGCATAAATAAATATTAAGACGCAGATGCAGATGAGTGTTGGCTTATTGTGGGTAGCTGCAATAAGACAAAATGTGCATTATGTCGTAAATTTAAGAACTTTAGGTAAATTGCATGATTGCAGCTCAGCGAGAAGTTAACGACTCTGTAGATATGAGCTCGCTGTGAAATATTGCTGGATATTTGCGGGAAATAAGGCATTGAAGAAAGCAGTATTTCTAGGTTGAAGTGTATAAATAGAGGGAGAAATATTTGTATATTTTACTTAAAAGATTGATTTGTCTGAACTTCCGTTAGCGGACCACCATAGCATACAGTTGCCATACAAACTGAATGATCCCAAGATGTGTTTTGTATGGAAAACTTCTTCATTTGACGAGTTATTTTTACAAAATTCGTCACGAGCCATTATTTAGGGCAATGGTGCAATCTCCGAAAACATTGTCAGATCGGATCGGATATCATATAGCTGCTATACAAACCGAACGATCGGAATGAAGTCGTTGCATGGAAAAATGTTTAATTTCACGAAACTTGCCTTAAGCAATAACGCAATCTCCGAAGAAATGGTTCCGTTCGGATTTTTTTTTTTTTTTCTTTTTTTTTTTTTTTTTTTTGAAATGAAGTCAAAAATTTGAAGCAAAGATTGTTTTTTTGACATTTTTGATTTGAGATCAATAATGGTTTTCAGGCTAAATGTTACTTAATAATCAATATTCTAATAGAATTGACAACATATTAGATATATTTGTGAAAAGAAGAGTATTTTTTCTATAAGAAAGCAGAAAACAACATCAAAAACAATTTTAGAATTTTTTAGAAGCCTTGCTTATTTAAAAATAAATACACTAAATACAACCACTGAATGCTAAATATTTATGCACACAGTTATTTTATAGATTCTAAGATTATTTTCGTCAAAAATAACTTTTTTGTATAACTAAAACATTTAAATTTTACACAAAGTACCACAGAAAATAAAAAAAACGCATTAACGAAACTCACGTAATTTATTGAAACTTTAAATACACACCCTGCATTGTATCCATAACATATAAAAAACTCACCACACCCGCCAAATAATTAACATCAACCCCTTACCATAGAGATCCCTGATCAACCCTATTATATATTTCTGCTATATGATATCTAGCTCGATAAATTATATAAAATTAATTGACTTGCTACTTTCTGCTTTTGTTTTGTTTTTTGTGTTGTGTGGCAACCAACAAATCTAGGTGTAACAACAATGTTGAATTTCTTTACAACATCCAACGGTTTCCGCAGCACACTGCCCGTCGTCTCCAATCTCACCGCTATGAATGTTTGGGATGGCGTTTGCATGTGCTTCATCTACGCCTCGCTACTGGAGTTTGTATGCGTGAATTATATGGGCCGCAAGCGGCCACAACATAATGCTGTCTATCGACCTGGCGAGAATCCTGTCACACAGGTAATAAAACACCATCTCACACATTCACAACACAACACACCTACCCACCCACACACACACACACATCCATATTGATTTGTCTGTGCTATTACTATCTCTCTACCCCTCTATATGTATTGCTAACACTCTCTACATTTAACCATTCATTAAAAAAACCACAACGCGCAACACTATATCTATCTCTGTCTAAGACACTTGCGCGTAAACCTAAAACCGGCTGAGAATTACAAACTAAACTTTTCTTTATTAACAAAATTCATGATTTACGAAATTCAAAAAAATTAGGTAAAAAAAGCCAACAATTCAATGGCCTGAATGTATTAATATATATCATTTTTTTCGAAAAAGGCTATTCACAAATACTGAAAGATTTTAGTATTACCACAAGCAAAATTCCATACCACTCATTCTAAACTCTCCGCCAATAATTACTGTAACCATTTTATGTTTTATAAATTTTCTTACTACTTTTATTTCATACTTTTTAACACTTAATCTTCTACTTTTCTCTACAACACTTGCTATATTTTTCGAAAATTTAACAAAGTAAAATTTCTTAGCATATTTAAACAGACGTTCGTACTGTTTCCCTATTAATAAGTCTTGAAAATTATGCCAATATTTCACATATGTATGAGTATAAAAACCAACTACAGTCCGTTTTAAAAGTATGCGTAAGGCTGCGTAATAAACCTAGTATTTTACTTAGGCTTGCTCTTCAAGCATTTTCCTTTCAACTTTTGATATCTATATTTCATTTTTTAAATTTCGCATATTTTGTTGAACTATTTAAAAAATTTTAAGTAAAAAACTAACGTAACAGCACGTTTACGTGATTTTTTTTATTGAAATAAT